GGGGGGGCTAATACAAAGGATGCATGTGTCCTTCACCTTATTCGCCAGAATAATGAAAGATTTCACATAAATAGGTGATGAGTAGATAGATCAAAGGAAAAAATGCTAGAACAGAGGATCACTGTTTTCGTTAAACCTCTTGGAAATACAGTCATTGGGCTTATAAGCTTATGAAATACAGATATATATGAGTTAATCTGATTCCAGAGAGCACTAGTAGAACACCGTTTATGTATTGACAATTCCCATTTATAACACCTGATTCAACAGAAATTATGACACTCAAATACACAATATGATATTGATATAGTTACGCTAAACCTTAGTAAATGATTGTCGATGCTGTTAGCTATGTAGAACTTATCCCTACTCTACTTTTGTAGGAAGTTAATAACTTATTTAAACGTTATAAGGTTTTAACCAGAGAACTATGAAGTCCGTACAGCTACGCCCCATTTGGGTCTTTCAATCCACAACTGAATTTGTTTCACTGAGACAGTCCAGTCTTGTATATGAATACTTATAGTCAAATCAAGGTGGTATATTTGTCAAAGTTGAATAAGTAACTACAAGGGTGCTTGGAAAGAAACTGGAATAAATTCCGTGTGTTGCTCTAAGTATAGAGAAAATCTTGAAGTTTTCGGCATGACCATAAGGGAAAAAAAAAAGATTAATCATAATATAGTTTTAGTTTAGTAGTTATAAGAGTTGCAGTTAGCTGCAATGTAATTCAAACTCTTATTTCAGAGGTCAGATCAAGTTAGAGTGATTTGTAAATAATTACATGTTTATTTAAAAAATAATTAATTAAAAAAATGAAAATATTTTCCCATTCTTTTCCCTTTAAAATCAATTCTCCAAACTGTAATTTTTATTTTTAAAACCTGGAGTAAATTGAAAGTACTTGGAATGTGGATAAGAGACGTAATAAGCGACATTGCGAAACCAACTGTAACATGATTGACTCGCATCTCTGCTCTCTTTGCGAGTCCGTTTGGCGTCGTAGGCATAAAAATTATGATCTCTTCAATGAAGCAAATATTTAAGAATATTTCTGAATCTTCACATTGAATTTGTTACATTGACACTAGATACATTCTACTATCTTGATGTCTTGTAATTCTTTTAAATACATAGGTATATGTGTAATGCTAAAAGTATTTCCTTTGTTTCGTAAGCAAAATAAAAAATATTTAAAATATTTATTTTCATTTCTCCAAATTTTAATTTATTAAATCGTCAAGAAATTAATGTCGCGTTTTAGAACACTTTCATTAACCACCCCATAAAAAAACGCCCATCGCATATAACAGTTAAACGAACTGCCTAAACGTCACGTTAGTGTAGCCCATATAATGTGTAAAGTTTAGTATTCTCTAATTCCTTATAGTGATGGTACACGACGAGACACACACTTGGCATGTAATGCTGTTTCAAAACAAGAAGGGAAACAACACCTCTGTAGTCAAGAAGAATATCAAAAAAATGTATGGAAATATTTTGAACGTTCGTAAGTGTCAACGATGGTTCAGCAAATTTCTTTCAGGTGACTTTAGCCTTAAAAACTGTGATGTCAGGGGCCGACATCTTGGAATTGATATTAATGCACCGAAGATACTTGTTGAGTCTAACCCAAGGCAGCACAATCGTGAAATTGCATGTCTCTCATGAAACAATACCTAAACATCTAAGGTGATGAAAAATGGATTCTCTATGCAAATATTAAAAGCCAAAAACAATAGATCAGTCCTAGACAATAACCACTTCCGACCCCAAAACCTCGACTCCATCCGCAGAAAGTGATATCAAACGTGCCACATGTGGACGTGCTTTGTCGTGGAGAAGAAGAACACTTTTCCGATTGACGGGCTTGATTTAAACATTCCAGTTGCTGACTATAGATCTCTGCATTGACAGTTCGCTGTGGATTGAGGAGTTCGAAATGAATTACTCCTTTGATGTCCCACCAAATGCAAAGCTGGGGGAGAACTTCCCAACCCAACTCCATAATCTTGTGTTGCGTGTGTGTGTGTGTCTGACTATTTACACTCGCGGAGTAAACAAGTGGGATTGTGGGTACTTGAACTCTGCCGTTTATAGTTCTTCCCTCTTTTTTTTCAAAGAAATGAGGTGAAAAAAGAAGTTACCCTTGTTATGTGAATGCTTAATCTGCTTTAAGTTAATCCATTTGTGGCGACGTAACAGCTTAACACGAGGTTTAAAACTTTAACTTCTTTGAAAAGGGCAAACAAAAAGGATGTTACTGGGAACCTAGTGTATTGTAAGACCAGTCAATCATAATTTTAACCTTTGACTCATTACTAAACATATCATCTTTTAACATCGCGGCCTGGTGGTTAACGTATCATACTTGGTATTCGAGGGTCTCCGTTTCGGAACGTGTGCTAACAAACTCGCTCCGCATTTTCAATTTCAGCTGCGTTGAAAGAGTAACAGTCAATCTAAGTCATTGTTTAAGAATAGCCGCATCAAACGAAGGGTCAGGTGACTGACTGTCTGCCTTCTGGTCAAAATTAGGGACGGCTGTGGCTGAACCATAATGGTTTCTGACCTGGTCGTTTAGCCGAAAGTGTGTATAAAATGTGGCTCATGTGATCACACAAATTGATCTCAACTTGTATTATTTAAAGTATAGCTGAATTATAACGAAGTCAATGCTATGTTTAATTGAAATATTCTACATTTTATATACTTTTCAAATGGTTCAGAAACAGTGTTAATAATCTTATTCAAACAACATATATTGTGCTTATTAACGCATGTTTACCACTGGACACTCTAATTCTGCGTAATATTCAACCAAGTCTTGTAAAGCCCTTCACCTAGTACTTTTAGTCAATGTAAAATTATTCCTGTTTTGAAATGTACGATTTTTTATTGT